GCTTCTGGGGATGGTTACGCCAACCCCTGGACTGGGTTTCGCCAGACAAGTTTTTAGCTGTAGCCTTCTTTGGGCGCAGCTCTGGCGAGGGCTGCTGCATCGCTCTGGGGCAACACTGGAGATGGGGCCTCATGGCGCTTCAGGGCTACAATAGGGGCGGGGCCGCGGCGCTCTCCACGGTGCTCCGGGGATGAGGCCTCACGGCGCTCCGGGGCTACAATAGAGGCGGGGCCCCAAGAGGCCGAGCCCCGGTGCTCCCGACCGCCCTGGAGATGGGGCTTCGCGGCGTTCTGGGGCTACAATAGAGGCGGGGCCACGGGGCTCCGGGGCCGCACTGGGGGCGGGGCCTCGCGGCCCTCCAGGACTACTGCTGCCTGTGCCGCCAGAGCCCTCAGGCTATCCCCGCAAACTCTGACCTTTCCATGGGTAGTTGTAGAGCTACCTTGAATCCGGGCGTTTGCTCCCTTTGGGGTGTCACCGGTGTTCGATGGACTCCTCCGCAGTGGGTCCTCCAGGCCGGAGATGCTCCTCCTTTCCGGTATGGCAAGGCGGCCTTCCCGCCGAGCCCGGAGCTCCGGGAGAAGTTGGCAGCACCGGCCGCCCGGTCAGGAAATCCCGTCCAGCTGACCCTTCCTTACCCTCCTTGACAGATCCGCTGCCCCTTAGCTGCTAACAAACACTCCCTGAGCGACTCAGACGCTGCTCCTGTGTGTCTTGGGACCAGAGTTAGAACAAGTCCGTCTGTTCGGTGGCCATCTTCGAGCTCTGCCCCCGAATTTTTAAAACATGTAATACTGACTACTTAGTCAGTAGCACTGACTTTTTTTCTCTTAGAATGTCAAATTAAAATATGACAACCAGCACAAAAGCTGCCTGGTGTGAATGAATCAAAATTATACCTATTTATTTTGTCAGATTGACAAATGATATATTTTTTTGGTGGGCTGAAGAATTTAATAATTAGTTTATGTGTTCCTTGAGATGAAAGAGGTTGAAAATCATTGCTCTAGTGAGTCAGCATTGCCTCAATGCCAGGGTCAAGGAGAATCACAGTTCCTGAGTTCATGCGAATTGCGGGGTAACCATCAGATGGCAGCATCTAACTAGTTGGTGTTGGTGAGGGATTCCCACTTCCACTCTTACAGTATTCCACCCATGATTAAACTCTGTTGCTAGAGAGAAGAAACTCTGAACATAAATGTTTTGAGTATCCTGAATATTTGGGAAGTGGAAACAGAAAGGCAGCAGAAGATGTGAAAAAAGCACTGATTTTAGAGTCAGATAGGTCTTGGTATCTTTCTCTACTCGGTCAACAAAAGCAACGTTTGACACTACATGGCAATGCTTTCTTTGTTGTGTCTCTGATTTGTGTTGTTTTTATTTTTATTTTTTAAATTTAATAAATCTTTATTGTTCAGATTGTTACAATTGTTCCTCTTTCTCCCTCCCATAGCTTCCCTCCACCCAGTTCCCACCTCACCCTCTGCCCTTAACACCCTCACCCCCACTGTCCTCATCCATAGCTGTACAATTTTTGTTAAGTCTTCTTGCACCCTCCATTTGCCTTTCCCCCTGAGAATTTTAAGTCCACCTCCTTTCTATGCCCCTGATTCTATTATATTCACCAGTTTATTCTGTTCATCAGATTTTTCTTATTCACTTGATTTTTAGATTCACTCGTAGATAATATATGTATTTGTTGTTCATAATTTTTATCTTTACCTTTTCTTCTTCTTCCTCTTCTTAAAAAATACCTTTCAGCTGAAACTAGTTTGGCTCAGCGGTAGAGCGTTGGTCTGCGGACTGAAGGGTCCCAAGTTAGATTCCAGTCAAGAGCATGTGCCTTGGTTGCAGGCACATCCCCAGTGGGGGGTGTGCAAGAAGCAGCTTGTCAATGTTTCTCTCTCATCGATGTTTCTAGCTCTCTATCTTGCTCCCTTAATCTCTGTAAGAAAATCAATAAAATATATATTTTTTAAAATACCTTTCAGCATTTCGTATAATACTGGTTTGGTAGTGATAAACTCCTTTAGCTTTTTCTTATCTGTGAAACTCTTTATCTGCCCTTCATTTCTGAATGATAGCTTTGCTGGGTAGAGTACTCTTGGTTGTAGATTCTTGTTATTCATCACTTTGAATATTTCTTGCAACTCCCATCTGGCCTGCATAGTTACTGTTGAGAAATCAGCTGACAGTCATATGGGTACACCCTTGTAGGTAACTAACTGTTTTTCTCTTCCAGCTTTCAAGATTCTCTCTTTGTATTTTGCCCTTGGCATTTTAATTATAATGTGTTCTGGTGTGGTCCTCTTTGAATTTCTTTTGTTTGGGGTTCTCTGTGCTTCTTGGACTTGTAAGTCTATTTCTTTCACCAGGTGGGGGAAGTTCTCAGTCATTATTTCTTCAAATAGGTTTTTAGTATCTTGCTCTCTCTCTTCTTTTGGCACCTCCATAATTCTGATGTTGGTACGCTTGAAGTTGTCCCAGAGGCTTCTTACTCTATCTTCATATTTTGATTATTTTTGCTTTTTGCTTTTCTGGCTGAGTGTCCTTTGTTTCTTTTTGTATTTCAAATCTTTGACATTATTTTTGTGTTCCTCTACTCTGCTATTAGATCTCTGTATAATATTTTTTTTTTATTTCAGTCAGTGTATGCTTAATTTTTAGTTGGTCCTTTTTCATATCATTGAGGGTCTTGCTAAATTTATCATCCTTTTCTAGAAAATTATTGAAAAACTTTAAAACTGTGGTTTTGAACTCTATATTCAGTCATTTGCTTTTCTCCATTTCTTTAATTTGTGATTTGTTTCTTTGTCTCCACATTTTGGCTGCTTCCCTGAGTTGATAGAGTGGTTTTGTGTGCTAGGTGATCTGTAGGACCCAGTGGCTCAACCTCCCCAGTTAAGTGAGGTACACACTCTTGGTACACCCCTTTGTGGGCTGTGTGCACAGTCTTGTTGTAGTTAAGCTTTTTTATGGTGATATCACTGGGAGAAATTGACCTCCAGATCAATTGGCTGTGAGAATCAGCTGTATCTACGCTGGGAGAATTTCTGTGCTGGAGACACCCTTATGGGAAAGAAATTGCAGAAGCCTCTGTGCTCAGCTTGGATGGGGCAGAGTCTCAGGGCAGAGAAGACTGCATTGGGTTCCCTTCAGCCCTGCCCTAATAAGCCCCTGTGTCTCAGTGTCCAGTGGTAATCACTACAAGCACCTCTGAGAGAAAGCCACTCTTGAGTTCCACCCACTGCCAGATAGTCCAGTTTCTCCCCAAATGAGTCTGGGTCCCCAGACTCTCACCCAGAACTGGAGTTCAATGCAGTCGGGAGCTTTTGTCTCCCTCTTGCTTGAGAAAGCCAGCTGTGTACTCAATTTGCATGCCCTCTTCATGTGTGCCCCTCAGTACCTCTGCCTTCTGCAATTCCTCTGAGTCTCAGTGTGCCTTTTTTATTCATGACAGTACAGTTTCACCCCAAATAAGTCTGAGTCCCCAGAGTCTACTTGAATTGGAGGTCGGAATAGTTGGGAGCTTTTGTCTCCCTCCCACTTGAGAAAGCCAGCCGCACACTCAGTTGCCAGTCCTCTCCACGCACACATGTCTTAGTAACTCTGTCTCCTGAAGCTCCTGTGAGTCTCAGTGTGCTTCTCTCTTTCCTTCTAGTTGTAGAATTTCTACTCAGCCAGCCTTCCTGTGGTTCTGGATGATGTCTGTTTTGTCTTTTATTTGTAGTTTTGAAATTGTTGTGACAGGCAGCAGTTTAGATGTTTACATATGCCAGCATCTTGGCTTCTCCCATTTGTGTTGTTTTAAACTCTATTCAACATATGTTTATTTTCCACTGCCAAAAGTGCCAACAAAAGGATTCTGCAAGTAGAGACAACAGAAAGCTAGCAACTGCTACTGACAAGACAGACACAGCATCGAGGATACATGTTTGATGATGGAATATATCACCAGGGTCTAGTTTTTGGTTGTGCATAGCAGCCTGGAAAAAAAACAATCGAGTCCTCTTTTGTGGCAATTGTGATATTGAGATTTATTTTTAAAATTTCTTTTGTTAGTCAATTCCAAAGCCATTTTGTTTCATTCATTCACTAGTTCCCTTGTTTTGTCTCTTAGTTCATTCAACCAATATTTACTATCTTTAGAGCATTTTTGCTGGATACTCTGTTTTTGTGGTTATTTTTTTAAAAATAGGATTAGCAAAATTTCAAAAAAATCTTGATTTTAATACCATTAAAAGAATGTCAACTGGGTGAAAAGGTGAAGGAATTAAAAGTACAAATGGCCAGCTTTAAAAATAGCCATGGGGATGCAAGTCAGCCTAGGAAATACAGTAAATAATATTGTAATAATGATGTATGGTGTCAGATGGGTGCTAGACTTATGTGGTGACTACTTCTTAAGCTATATAAATAAGTACATAGTATACCCATAGTACAGTATATCAACTATAATTTGTTTTTAATTAAAAAAAAAAAAGAATAGACACATGAGAGGAAAGGCTAACCCTGAAGGTTACTCTATCCCGTTTTCCTACAGCTTCCTCAAGTCCCAGATTTCAGGAATTAAAATCAGTTCACAAACTCTCATTAGCATATCCTGTTTATCCAAACCTTTGGGAATCCGAGTCTACAGGGAACTGAACACTCTCCAAAAATCACATGAATAGAGAATTTCCTCAAGAGACAGACAACTCCAGTGTCATTTAGATCTGCCTTTTCACACCCTGGCCATAAGGGACATATACACCTGGGCTTCCACCTGTTTAGTCTCTGCCTTGAGTCATTGTACTGGCTACAGCACCATCTTTCTATAAGAGAGAAAAGCTCTTGCCTCAGAAAAGATCATATTTGCAAACTTTTTACTCTTTGGAAAAGTTGTGAGCAGAGAGGTGGGGAGGAAAGAGTAGACTATAGAGTTGAGGAAATATCAACTTGCCATTCTCAACACCTTTCTCTGGTGCCCACTTGTTATCTTCCTTTCTCCCCAGGCAGTGATGGCTCTCCAGAAGACCCTTTCATTGCTTCTGCTCTTGTTGGTGACCCTGCTGGGGCTGGGGTTGGTGCAGCCCTCATTTGGCCAATCCATGTACCAACAATTCCTGCGGCAACATGTGGACACTAAAAATAGAGGTGGCACCAGTTTTTACTGCAACAAGATGATGCAAATACGGGGGATGACTAGGCCCAGGTGCAAGCAATTCAACACCTTCATCCATGAAAACATCTGGGACATTAATAACATCTGCAAGAACCCCAATATCCAGTGCAAGAATGGCAAGATGAATTGCCATGCAGATGTAATGAGAGTCACAGACTGCAAGCTTACATCACGTTCCCGGCGAAACTGCAGATATCAGGGCTGGGGCAGTTCTAGGCCTGTTGTCATCGCCTGTGATGATAAAACCCTGATGCCTGTGTACTTTGACGGATAGATGCTATCCTGAAACAGTTATGGCCCTGTGGTTGACCTTTTACTTACTCCTTGAACAGCAATGAATAATGCATTTGAGCTATGTCTACTTCTTTTTTCCCCTATACAACCCGTTCTGTTAAATGCATCAAAGAGAAATGGAGACATAAATGTATAATGCAATTGGGCTTTCTTGAATAAAATTTTCTATAAAATATGCTTCCTTTTAAAATATTGCTCAGCTTAGCTCTCTCAAATCCTATCCTCTGGAATTTTATTATTATATGTATGATGTAACATTTCACATATTTAAAGTATCAATATTTCCATCTCAGTTATCTAATTTTAATACCACCGCACATCTGTGATGTTCATGTTGCTACAAAAGAATCTCAAAGTTAAAAGGATTTACCGAAGAACATGAAGATGTGGAAAAGGTGATATAAAAAAATCCATTAAAAAATCCATTTCAATTGGTTACTAATCCAAGGCTTTTCCTTCTTCATGACAGGGAGTGCTTTAAAAGTAACTGCTTTTTGATATTCTCAAAAGTCAGCTGTTGGGGGAAGCATTAAACATTTAGAAATATGAACTGGAAAAATGAGAGCCCTGTCTGTATAATTTGTCAACCTTGTTATGTTTGTCTCTAATAAGATTAAAAAATCATACAAGAACTTTCTTTTTCTCTTCACACACTTTTGAATCATAGTAGTAAGTCAGAATATTAACAATGTACTAGATCATTAGGACTCATTCTCTCTTCCTTACTGGAAAGATTTTTCATGTTTTCTTTGAAATAAAGAACTACAGATATCTGAAAAGATGCTGCTATGGTTCTTGTGTGGGATTTCTTTTCTTTTATCTTCTTTTAATTCTTTTTTAATTTATAAACATGAGCGAACAGCTTCATACCTTCATAAACTGGCCCATAATTAAAACCAATTGGATCAATGACCACGACGAAGAAATATTAATGTCATTTACTAAAGACAATTATTATACCCTTCCTTTTTCCCTTTGATTATTTAGAAACAAATTGGAGAACAGAGATGTATGAAGACACTAGCAGCTAAAAATGGAAGTATATATGTGAGTGAGTGTGTGTGTGTGTGTGTGTTTGTGCATGTGTGCACATGAAAAGACTAAACTGAAAATATTTGAATTTTAAAGCAAATAGACATTGTTTATGTTTAAGGTGTGCAACCTCATTCAGTATACTAGTACATATGCATTGTGGAAGAATCACTACAATCAAGGTAATTCACCTATCTGTTACTTCACATGATTACCAAAAGTGACCCTATTTTGGATTGTTTTCTACTCCATTTTTTTCAACACTACTGAACATCATAGCTTAGCCACCAGTTTCTTCTGACTACATGTAGCTTTCACACCATTGTAAAGTTAAAATATCCTAGGCATGAAAATCCTATATAATAAAAGAGTAGTATGCAAATTGTCTCCTGGACCAGGAGTTCAACCAGGGGATAGGGCCAGCTGAAACAAGGGAAAGAGGCCATGGCCTGCAGAAGCAGGCTGCTGGGCCAAGGAATGGAGTACCTGGTCGGTAATCGGCAGCCAGCAGCTGATAACAAACACACCAGTGCACAGATTTGGTGACCTAGACCTCTAGTTCATAAATAAAATTGTAGATTATTTTTGCTAATCCATGTCACCAAACTAAAACTTAACAACTAACAAAATTTCAGCCTCTTCCATGGGTGAAATTTTAAACCAATCAATTTAGAATTACCTGGTCAACACTGGTGAGGTAATATGGCTGATAAGATCCTCTGTCTTCCCATGATTGAAGGTGTCCTCGCTTAAAATAATCCAGTCTTTTAACTACATAGTCTCACGCTCTTTCTGCCTGTGAAAACCCTCCATTTTGTACAACTCACCAAAGCACCTTTCTAGTTGCCAGATGTCATGCTGCCCACCTCCTGAATTGCTTAATAAAGCCAATTAGATCTTCAAACTTATTTGGCTGAATTTTGTTCTTTAGCTCCTGCCCCCAGGGCCTTGTCATTTCTTTGTACCCAGAAGACTGTCTTTGATGTCTGACCCCTTTGCTCCAGGCTCTACATTGTACCTTATTTTATTTTTCTTTGCACCTTCTTCTTTCTCAGTTCTCTTTCTTTCCTCCCATTTCTCTTCTCCTATCTCTGTATTTGTTTTTTTCCCCTTTCCTTTCTTTTTTATCCTTTCTAAAAATGGACCTTCTTTATCTGCTTTATTGATGTGTCTCTGTTTTATTCATATATCTAATTTTTTCTTTCCTGCTCCTATTCCATTTATCCTTCTCTTTTCTTTCTCCTCCTACTCAATTTTATCTTTTTTTCTTTTTCTTCTTTTGCTACTTTCTTCTCTTAATTTTTAAAAACTTGTTTCACTTCTTAAATTTCTATCTGTTCTTTCTTCTACTCTCTGTTTAAAAAAACTTTTTTCAATATTTATTTTTCTCCTACCTTTATTCCAAACCATAATCCTTCCCATATTCATCCAATTTCTCAACCTTATATTTTCTATTTAAGCTCTGCATCTATAGATTCTTCTCTCTCTCTTTTTGTTTTTTCTTGGTGTGTTTTGTTTGTACTTTATTTATTTATTTGTTGTGTTTCTTCCCCATAGACTTCCTTTCTTTCTTTTTTCTTTCTTGCTATCATCCTTGTTCTATTTTCTAAATCACTTTTCTTTAGTTGTCACTTTTATTAGAGTTATAGGTGTCTTGTGTACATTCATGTTCTATTACTCCTGTATTGTATCTTTTTTAAAAATATATATTTTATTGATTTTTTTTCAGAGAGGAAGGGAGAGGGACAGAGAGTCAGAAACATTGATAAGAGAGAAACATCGATCAGTTGCCTCATGCACACCCCACACTAGGGAAGTGGCTGCAACCAAGGTATATGCCCTTGACTGAAATCGAACCTCGGACCCTTCAGTGCACTAGCCGATGCTCCATCCACTGAGTCAAACCGGCTAGGGCCTCCTGTGTTGTGTCTTGTCATATTGTATTATGTGCCATTCAGTCAGCACGTCCAAAACGTTAGCATGATGTGGTAGGAAGTGAGCCAAATCATCAGACACCTTGAGAGGCAACTCCATGCATGAGTGGAACAATAACATTAAAGACCCAAGTATATCAGTAAAACCCAAAAATTTCATGTAGAAGGCCTCCCTAGAAATCCCAGCCCAGGAGATCTCAGATACTTAACCACTGGGTCCCCCAATATATCTACTACATAAAACAATTCAAAAAATCTGGGTGGCATAGCAGTTTGGTCTAATACATGGAAATAATTAAAAAAGAAATAACAAAAACGGATAGGCAAAAAAATACCCCAAAATGCAAGAAAAGGAGGAATCACCAGAAAAGAAATGAAATACAATGGAGGCAAGCAATTTGTCAAACAAGGAATTAAGAGTAATTGCTATAAGGATGCTCAAATATCTGGATCAGAAATTCACCAAGATGTGTAAGATTTAAGATGAAAGCATTACATAGCAGCACTAAAGAACACAATGGAAAGATTCAACAGTAGACTAGTTAGAAGACAAGGTAGAAAAAAACATCAAAGCAGAACAAGTGGGGAAAAAATTTAAAAGCAGGAAGAGTCTAAGGCAGGTCTGGGACAACATGAATCAAAACAACATCCACAATGCAAACATGCCAGAAGGTGAAGAAACTGAGCAAGGAATAGGAAACTTGTTTGAAGAAATAATAACAGAAAACTTCCATGACTTTGGGAAGAAAAAAGTCACACATGTCCAAGAAGCACAGACAGTTTCAAAAAAGATGAATCTAAAAAGACATACACCAAGACATATAATTATATTGTCAATTGTCAATGACAAAGTAAGAATCTTAAGGGCTGCCAGAGAGAGACAGAGAATTACTACCAGGAATCTCCCATAAGACTATCAACTGATTTCTTAACAGAAATGCATTAGGCCAGAAAGTTATATAGGGAAGTATACAAAATGATGAAAAGGAAGGCACTGAATCCTAAAATACTCTGTCCAGCAAGGCTATCATTAAAAAATGCAGGTGAAATCAGGAGCTTCTCAGATGAAAAAAGATTAAAGGAGTTTAATACCACCAAGTCAGCAGTGCCAGAAATGTTAAGAGGACTGCTGTAGAAAGAAGAAATAGAAAGGAAGTAAAAATGCATACAAACAAGAAGCTATCAATAATAACTTTAATATAAATGGATTAAGTGCTCCAATCAAAAGACATAGGGTAGACAAATGGATAAGCAAACATGACCCATGTATATGCTATCTACAAGACATCCACCTCAGAACAAAGGAGTCACACAGACTGAAAGTGAAGAAATGGAAAAATACTTTTTTAGGCATATGGAAGTGAAAAAAAAAAAAAAAAAGATGGGGTAGCAATACTTATATCTGACACACTTGACCTCAAAGTGAAGGCCATAATAAGAGATAAGGAAGGCCACTCATAATATGAAAGGGATCGATTCATCTTGAAGCTATAATTCTGATAAACATATATGCAACCCATAAAAAAAAAAAAAAACTTCTGGAAGATATTAAGGGAGAGACTGACAGCAACACAATCATTGTATGGGACTTTAATACTCCATTGACATCACTGGATAAATCTTCTAGACAAAAAGTCAACAACTCACTAGATCAGATGGAACTAATTGACATCTTCAAAACATGCACCCCAAAGCGAAGGGATATACATTATTCTCAAGTGCACATAGGATATTTTCAAAGATAGAACACATATTAGGACACAGTCTAAAGTGTCCACAAATGCAAGAAGGTTGAAATCATATCAAGCATCTTCTCAGAATACAGTGGCATAAAATTAGAAATCAACTACAATAAAAGCAATCAAACAAGTCGAGAGTAAATAGCATGCATTAAAGAATGAATGGGTTACCAAAGAGATCAAAGAAGAAATAAAAAACAACCTACAAACAAATGAAAATAAAAACACAACAATCCAAAATCTATGAGACACAATGAAAGCAGTCCAAAGAGGCA